AAAAGGAAAGAGAGTTGGCAGAAGGATACCGTGGCTTTTAGAGCTTCTGCTTGGAACTGGAATAGGTCACATCCCCTTACAGGTGGTTGGCATAAGCCTGATGTCAATGGGCAGCGAAGTCTGCTCCTCCTATAGGAAGTTATAGTAACACTGTAGCAAGTGGAGATGTGTAATTTTGTTACAGGGAAAAGGGAAGCAAATAATGGGGAACAGGGGTGTAGTGTATCATGTATTGTGTATCCTGTATCATGTATTGTCAGCACTGACCCTGGCCACTCAGTTCTCTATTAACAACCCTTCAATATAGCTATAATAAATTTCTTTGTACTCCACACCTGTCCCACCTTCCCTTATGTCTCTCTACTAAGCAAACTCTTCAGTGTTTCAGGATTCAGCTTGCTTATTGCAGAAAGTCATTCCTGACTAGATCAATATGCTAGCCTATTTGTATGCTATGTTGGAATTTTTTTTTTTTTTTTTTGCTTTCTTAGCTTAATCCTTCAGGCTATTAACAGAAGTAAAAGATTATGCAACATCTCCTTATGTGAATTTTCCTTTCATTTTAAATTTTCATTTGGCTTTGGCCAAGGTCTTCATAGAAGAAAAATTACCTGTGTACGTAAGAGTGATCATATGGTAGTGTCTGATCAAAGATGTGACCACTTACCACTTCCATTGTTGGTGACTGAAAGGTGCAATACAGACTGTGAACTAAGGTAAGTAAAAGAGAAATAATGTATAATGTAAAATCAGTAAGTGAGGTAAGATGTAAACATCTAGTGCAGTGCCTCTCACAGGGTGGACATGTAATTAATGTCTATCCTTTGCCCCTTTGGTTAAAAAACTTTAGACTCACTAACTTATTGTGAAACTCGGCAATTGGTTTGAGTTTTTTATTCATAGTATTTGCTGAATTCCAGTATAGGGACCTCAATATTTTGTGTAAGAAATCGAATCAAATTTTTCTGTAAAATAAATACAGGGAAACTCTAATCTGAAAACCTATGGTTTAAAGATCTGAAACAATACATTCTGTAGCACTATCCTATAATTCCCATTGAACTCATGAACCAATAAACTTTTAAAGTTTGAGGATTAGAGAATCAATAAATTGATTTCTGTATCTTATCAGTATTTTATCCATTAAACATTAGGAACATGATCCTAGATCATGGCAGAAAATTTGTTCTAAAATTCTTGTTATTTGATGATCTGTGATGGGTCTTAGAGTGAAGCTAAGAGCAATAACCCCCATGTAGCAGGTGACAGTCAACTTTCAGGGATGACCAGAACCTCTTTGACTCAGCAAGGATGAGAATTTTTATATATTTATGGTGTTATTTGAAGGCCTATAGTGAAAGGCTAATGACAGAACAGCCCGTGCAAGGTGCATCCTCTACACTGCAGTAGAGTGAAGCACAGTGAAGCCCTTGAGATGCAGGTGGGATGGAAAGGACCTCCATGAATTCTCTTATCTGCTGTACTAGTGCACTCATATTGCCTGAGAGATTGCTAGACCGTAATTGAGATAATGTGGCTCAAACTGGCAGATTTTACTTGTGGAAAAAAACGTTTTCCCTGGAAACGTCTAAAAATAGATTACTTGAGTTAATGAGAAAATGTGATCTGCCTTACAAAAATCAAGTTTACCAACTTGTAAAGGCTTTATCTTTATTGGTGTAGTCATATTCCCAGATATTCCCTGATCCTCAGTCAAATAAAGGTTGCATAGGGAGGCACTCCCTGATGATGAGTCAAATATATTCAGTTCTAGTCTTAAATCTTCCACTATGTAATTGAGCAATCTTGATCTCAACTAGTTGTTTTCAAATGTCTAGCGGGAGGCTTGGGGTTCCTAGGACCTCCAAAGCTGCCTCCAAGTGCCTGTATAGCTGGTTCCCTACCTTCGTCTATAACCAGACACTCCATGTTTATGTATGTGGAGTGCAAGTTAGATTTTATTTGGAAAAAAGTAAGATTTCTGACAAGTCAGGTGTTCATACCACTTGAATGTACAGCACCTCTGGTCTTCATTTTCTCATCTATAAAATGAAAGTTTGGGCTCTGTGATGTCTAAGAAGTTTTCATCCCTAAATCAATGATACATCAAATATTTTTAGGTGGCTTGTCCATTAATTGCAACAAAATTTTAAAGATGAATGATACGCGTGAGTTTCTCTGAATCCATTTTTTAAATTGTGTTCATTGGCACACCTCCTAAGTGTAATGACATCGTTTTTTGAAGGTGGCACATCATTGGCAAAAGTGAATGTTCATCCCTTTGTGGTCAAGGATATAAGTCATTGGACATCCACTGTATGAAGTATTCCATTCATAAAGGACATACTGTTCCAGTAGATGACCACTACTGTGGTGACCAGCTTAAACCTCCGACCCGAGAACCCTGCCATGGTGACTGTGTCTTAACAAGGTGGCATTATTCAGAATGGTCCCAGGTACAAAGAAAAGATTGCTTAAGAAAAATTGCTCCTTTTTTTTTTTTTTACCTTTAATTAAATATTTTCACTCTAGAGTTTTGTTAAAATTTTTATTTTGTGTCCATTTGTCACCACTTTTCTTTTTTTAATCAGTGTTCCAGGAGTTGTGGAGGAGGGGAGAGGTCTCGAGAATCTTACTGTATAAATAACTTTGGCCACCGTCTTGCTGACAGAGAATGCCAGGAACTTCCCCCAGTGACAACTGAGAATTGCAATGAATTTTCCTGTCCCAGTTGGGCCACTAGTGAGTGGAGTGAGGTAACATTAAACCCATGAAGCTTAGAACCGTTAAAACATCGTGTAGGAGAGCTTTGCAATTGAAGGCTATATAATTCAAAAAATTATTTCAGTTTATTTTATCATGTGGTAAATAACTTTATTAAGGTAGTAAAACATTAAAAAATGGTTCGTTCTTTAACTGTTTACAATATCTGGCCAACAATGACATACTGATGTTTAATCTATAACCACTTTCATAGTGTCCACAGTACGCTGAGATATACACTTGTTCTAAGGTTAGTTTTGTACCTTTGTTTCTGGAACAAATGGACGTTGCACTGGGATTTGGGCAGCAGAAGTTTGGGATGGCTGATTTTACCCCGTGTATATCTCTGATTTTTCTGAGGAGTGAAGGGAAAATGTCCTTAGGAATGGTCTTTCAACTGTATTTGAATATGCAAATGGATCATTCATTATATATTTTGTAGGTATATGTGCTAATACTGAAAATAATGGTCAGTTGTATTCTTACAGTGTCTTGTTACATGTGGAAAAGGAACAAGGCAGCGGCAGGTGTGGTGTCAACTGAATGAAGATCACTTGAGTGATGGCTTCTGTGATCCAAGCACCAAACCTGAGTCTTTGAGACCATGTGAGCTTCATGCATGTGCTTCCTGGCAAGTAGGACCATGGGGTTCTGTGAGTATATGATAAGGTTTTTCTACTCTAATCCATCATTACAGAATAGCACAGAAGTTATGGTGTATTCACTCTTTAGTGGCTGCATCTAAATTTGGGTGTTTTTTGGAAAAAGATTCCTGAAATGTAAATCCCTACCTGCACAATTTTGTCAGTACTGCTAATGTTGCTGTGGTAAATATTCTAGCTTTGATTTTTAATTCAGTTTTGTTAAGCAGAATGCTACAAATTTTATGTTTTCACGAGGAACCATATTCAATATCCTGTAATAAACCGTAATGGAAAATAATATGAAAAAGAATATATATATAAATAACTGAATCACTTTGCTATACACCAGAAACTAACATAATGTTGTAAATCAACTATACTTCAATAAAAATTTTTTTATGCTTTCATCAGCTTTATTTAAACTATAGACATTTTCATGTTCGGTGTCTAAATTATTATCTTTACTGTATTTAGAGTAGGCATTGTTGGGAAGTTTTGCCAAACAGGCGGCTAGGAATCTGCTGGATGAGGGTGGGCAGTTTATTATCCTACACAGGTTGCCACAGTTGCTGGGAAACCTTCTCTCATCTGCCCTTTAACTCTGTCCTGTGCTCTTCCTTCTTTATCTCTTTGACATTTACTTAGTGTATTGAATGACATGCATGCACCAGGTCGATTTTGAAAAGTATTTAGTTTCTCTAAACTGTATTGACTCTGCCTCCAAAATATCAGGCTTCTATTGATATTTTTCCATGATAACTTTAAAGATACAATAATTGTCCATTTTAACTTCACTATTTTATTAGTATCTCCATAAATTTGAATAAAGATGTGTGTTGATTCAATTTGCTCATAAAGGACTAATAAAAATATCTACTGAAAGTATATTCTTAACTGTCTATTCACTAAGAAGATTAAGTTTATGTAATTTTTGAACAATGGTGTTTGGTATCTGCTTATATTCTTTCAGTGCACAGCCACGTGTGGACAGGGGTACCAGATGCGTGCTGTGAAATGTGTCAATGAGCTACTTAGTGCAGTGCTAGATGATAGAGTGTGCCATGGAGCTAGTCGCCCAAGTGACAGGCAGGTAAAGGACACCTCTTCATGGATTATAAACAAAAATGTTTGATACAGGAGGATTATTGATATGTTAAAATTATTTCCATACGTATTTTTTCCACTTAAACTTCTATGCCTTAAAAATGTATGTGGGTGACTTCCCTGGTGGTCCAGTGGCAAAGGCTCCGCGCTCCCAATGCAGGGGGCCTGGGTTCGATCCCTGGTTAGGGAACTAGATCCCGCATGCTGCAACTAAGACCTGGCGCAGCCAAATAAATAAATAAATAAATATTTTTTACAAAAGTTATGTGGGCATCAGAAAGTATATCGTTCTTGGTTTTGTCAGCTTTATTGATGCATTTTTTTTTACTCTTTATCTGCCATTGGATCACTCATTTAACTTATATTTCCATCCTTTGAACTGCAGAGGGCTGAACCTCTAAAGTGTGTCGTACTGCCTAAGGGAGCATCCTGTGTTCATTCAGGAGGTTTCAGCTTAGTGGTATTTTTGAAGGACTATTACTCTTTTCTTTTCAACCATCAGGCAGAATGATCCAAACTTTAGCCTTCAAAGTCATACTATCCGCTTCTAGCCCTTGATAATATTTTGTACTTCTTTTGCGGTACGCGGGCCTCTCACTGCTGTGGCCTCTCCCGTTGCAGAGCACAGGCTCCGGACGCGCAAGCTCAGCGGCCATGGCTCACGGGCCCAGCCGCTCCGCGGCGTGTGGGATCTTCCCGGACCGGGGCACGAAACCGTGTCCCCTGCATCGGCAGGCGGACTCTCAACCACTGCACCACCAGGGAAGCCCGTATTTTTGAAAAATATAAACCTTTCCATCCCTTCTTTGTAGTTTAGTATGCAAATGTTCTTTACTTATATATGTGGAGGATGAAATGCAGTATAGGATTTAGTATAAAGCAGAATGTTAATTAATTCATTGATGTTTTGTGAGACCCATTTTTCTTTTGAACAGGACTGTATTGTTACACCTTGCCCAATTATCCCTAAAATTGGGGCCACTTCATTACCAGCCCTTCCCATGGGAAAGATAGCACAATGGCGATATGGTTCTTGGACCCCAGTAAGTGAATTCCTTTAAGAGGTACAGTGTTTCTATTATGGAGCCTTTCAGACATCCACAAAATAGTTGCTACAGATTTGCCAAATTAATGTATGCACTCATTCTCAGGTATTTTGATGAATATAAGGTTTAGAATTAGATAATTTAATGACTAAATCCTGTTCTGCCTTTCAAGAGCTCTGTGTCTCTGGGAAGAAATTTAAGTTTTCTAGCTCTATTTTCTGATCTACCAAATGGGGATGATATTTATTGATTATTTTTTTAACTTTTATTTTATTTATTTTTTTTACAGCAGGTTCTTATTAGTTATCTATTTTATACATATTAGCGTATACATGTCAATCCCAATCTCCCAATTCATCCCACCACCACCCCCCAACTTTACCCCCTTGGTGTCCATACGTTTGTTCTCTACATCTGTGTCTCTATTTCTGCCTTGCACACCAGTTCAGGGGATGATAATATTTATGTCCCAGGTTGTTATGAGAAGCAGATGTGATAGGCTTTTTATCAGCCTTTATTTAAACTACCACATATTCATGTTGTTTTTCTAAACTGAAGGCTTTAATCTATTTGGAGTATATACTTGCTTTAGTATATATGAAAATATATACTAAATATATGAAAGATATATGAAAATATATGAAAGATACATTTTTAACTTTCACATATTCTCTGAATATTTTAATTATGAGAGCCTATCTACTCTATTACCTAGGTCTTTAAAAGTTATCTTAAATGATATCTTAAGATTCTCTTATATAAAATATTTTGGGTTTTTTTTTAAATTTGGCAATCAACTAATCAATATTCCTAGAAGCTCAGTATTTTGTTTCATTATGACAAATATCTGATTTGTGAAATTTATTTTCTAAACTCATTGGGATATTCACTGCCCTGTCTTTGACTCAGAAATGATGCCAGGTGATAGTATTTATAATTTAACTTTTTTCAATAAACTTGAGGTTTAGAAATCTGAACAACAGCCAAGTTTAAGGGATGTGGAAATGTCCTGTATAACTCCTTGGTATTATTCAATTTTTTAAGTGCTCTGTGTCTTGTGGAAGAGGGAATCAAGCCCGCTATGTAAGCTGTCGTGATGCTCACGATGGAATAGCAGATGAATCATTTTGTGCCCACTTACCCCGACCAGCTGAAATAGCTGTCTGTTTTAGCCCTTGTGGAGAGTGGCAAACAGGGAATTGGTCACCTGTAAGTATTTTTATGCGAAAAAAATGAAATGAAAAATTTAAATATAATACTTGCTATTTAAGATAACGTAGTTTATTGGCTGAATTTGTGATCAGTGTTCAGCTTCCTGTGGCCATGGAAAAACAACTCGACAAGTTTTATGCATCAACTATCATCAGCCAATTAATGAGAATTACTGTGACCCTGACGTCCGCCCTGTGATAGAACAAGAATGTAACCTGGCAGCCTGCCCTCCCACATACAGCCACTTTCCGAGCTCCTCTGAGCAGCCAAGCCATTTTCCAGGCAGGAATTTTCCATTAACTCACAAACCAGAAGATAATCAAAATCAGGGGGTCCATCCATCAATCAGAGGAAACCAGTGGAGAACAGGACCATGGGGATCAGTAAGCCCTCTTTATTGAGTTATACTAATTCTGTAATTTTGTTATGTTATATGGCCTTTTAACAGATATGTATGTAATGACATCAAATGCTTTTAATGCTAAATTTTTCTGAAGATCAGTAGTTTAAATCTTAAAAGGATTAAGCAATTTTTGATGCAGATTACAAATCCCCAGAGTTCTTATTGAATTATACAGTAATGTGATATTATGATTACAGAGGAATGCACTTGAAAACAATCTCAGAGTTTATTATAGTAAAAATAAAAGAAAATCTTTTAAGTGTTAAGACTACCAGTGTTTATGAAGAAAAAAACCCCAAAAACCCAGAAATTACTCTTGATAGCAGTGCAGTAAGCTGGAATAAAATCATGATTACTAGAAAAGGTACAACTGTGGTTCATATTTTATATGAGAGTAAAGGTACCAAATAAAGAAAAACAACGTGAAAGTTTAGTAACTTAACATTATCTTTTGGTTTTTTTCCTTCCTAGTGAGACCTGAAAACTTTAATTCCTTTTTACTTAATACTTAGGACAAGGGTGAATTTCCTTTTGCAAGCTTTAAAACTTCACCTTTCCATCAACAAATTCTAATGAAACCCCTAGTTAAAACCCAAGTGTTGGTTATGTTGGGTTAAATAAAACACATTATGTATTAAAAAAAAACCCCAAGTGTTTTTTGACAGATATTCTCGATTCAAATTATGATTCCAATGAGGGGGGTTTTAACGTGGAGAGCTTGAATTTGAGTCAAAGTACTGTTTTTTTGTGGGGGTTTTTTGATGTAATTTTGTGCCATGGAATCTGCAGTTTGTGTGTTCCTGTGTTCCATCCTTTTCAGTGCTCTAGCAGTTGTGCTGGAGGTATTCAGCGTAGAGCTGTGGTTTGCCAGGATGAAAATGGACAAAGTGCCAGTTACTGCAATGCAGCCTCCAAACCCCCAGAGTCAAAGCACTGTGATTCGGGGCCTTGTCCACGGTGGAGCTACGGAAGCTGGGGAGAAGTAAGTCATACTATCTCCTAAACTTGTGGAGATTATGACATCTCCCAAGACTGAAAGTTAAGCACTTCATATTGTTACCGTTGGATAATCTTACTTCACTGTCCTACAGAGAAAAGATTCTTTTTTAAATTGAGTCATTAAAATATGTTCTTTTAATAGACATTGTGTCATGGTATAAATCACTCATTCATGATAGGAAATATATACTCCAGATTTTTAACAGAATCCTTTGTGCTAGCCAATAGGTCTGTGACCTACTAAAACCTCTCTAAAAGTAGTATATTATTGTTTTAATTTCTTAGAAAATTAGACGGATATAGACAATTGGAGTGATATATAGGCATGTTTATATCCTTATATCCATATCAAATGAAGGCTGAACCATTCATTTGGTGAATCTTTTCAATGGAGAGCTGTCAATTATTGAGCACTTTCTTCATGTCCTGGCATTTTTTTAGGCACTGGGATTATGAAGATAGTTTTTAAAATGGTTATAATGAATACTAATTCCACCTATATTATGTATGAGAAAGAAGAAAGACTTACAATGGCTTTAGATGAATAAAACAAACCGCCTAATTTAATTAGTCAAATATTTTTGCTGAATGATTTTAGTACATATTTTCTCTCCATAAGGAGTTTGGAAATCATTGTTTAAAGATACACTCTGACCAGGTGCTAATAAATAGCAAATACCTCTTTAAAATGTACTTCTACTATTTTCCAAAATGAAAGTAACTTTTTCATTTCTGAGTTAAATCTCATAGTGAAAATTCAAATAAAATGAAAAATTGTGAAAAGATAAGAACTTTTAACATTTGATACATTTCCTGCCAGACTTTTGTTCTGTGTGGGTTCCAGAAATAGGTTCCTACTATACATGCCACTTTGCCATCTGTTTTCATGTAATATATATATATATACTGAACATCTTTCTATGTTTATAAATTTTGATCTCCCTTATTAGCTTTCATGGCTACACAGTCATCTTTTGATAGGATACCATACATTATGTAGTTAATACCTATTACGGTACCAATTCTCAAAATTTTGTCGTTTTAAAAAAAAATTATAGAGCTAAAACTTTGATTTATTTTTCACCCAGGAAGAAATGTTGAGAATTATAAGGATTCTTATATTTCTTATATAAGAATATAAATATATTCTTATATATTTCTTATAATTATAAGATTATAAGAAAGGATAATTTTAAACTCTAGCAATACTGATTATGTACTCAACATTGAATAAAGCAATATAATATTCTTTTTGAAGCCACATAGTTTTGATTTTTCTTCTTATTTTTAGTGTACACAAACATGTGGAGGAGGAATAAAATCACGACTCGTAATATGTCTATTTCCCAATGGCCAAATGTCACGAGAGCAAAACTGTGAAATCTTAAACAAGCCACCTAGTGTGGTACAATGTCATGTGCATGCTTGCCCTGATGATGTATCATGGCATCGGGGACCATGGAAATCGGTACGATAGTATTCTTATTTTTATCCTTCTGTTTTGTTTTGTTTTTTTATGTTCCTTTTACTTTAATTTCCTCTCTTCATAAATTGTGATGCACACATTTTATCTTCTGATTTTTTTTAAAGTAGACCATTGGCCCTCTTGGCTTGCTAGTTTGAAAGAAGAATCATTCAGTTTCAAGTACTGTAATATATACATCTATATATAATAGTTTTATGTGTATTTATTTTTTTATAAGTGAATTTTGAACCGTAGCACTATTCTAATGGCAGTATCTTTCTCCAGTACACCTTTGGCTTGCCCACAAATTAATTGGAAATATTTTACTATTTACATTTGTACATAATGTTAACATTGTGCTTATAACAATGGCGAGTTAAGGCTGTGTCTTGTTTGAGTATATAACTGTTTGTGGCTTTTGTCTGTCAATGTCCAATAACTGATCTAAAAGCAAGTAACATTCTTGTTTTTATCATTGTTAAACTTAGTATTTTGTTTGGAAATGTGAAAATATTGTATTAAAAAATATAGAGAAATTTACTTACACAAAGTAAATTAATTGTTTACAGTTTGTCACATACATCATGGAAAAGTATGATTTATATAGTAGTTTATAAGAATGTTCATTTCTTCCACTGTGTGGAGTTACTGTGTTTTGAACTGTTATAATTTTTTATTTTTTTTGGAGCCATAGACAAAACATAAATATTTATGAATGATTAATTTCCTCTAGTATTTTTCAAATACCAAGCTCTGAAGAATAATTAATATATAAATATATTGAAATTAGCATTTTGGTCACTTTTGATATTTTAAATCATGAACAACTAAGTATACTTCTTTCAGGTGAAAAACTGATTGGAGTCTATAATCTATTTATAATTAAATTTATAAAGTTAAACAGCTCTTTATTTGGAAAATAATTATAACTCTGGTTTTATATCCAACCCTGATGTGTAAACTTGTTTTACTTCACCCAAGTCAAAGCTTTATGATGAAATGTAAACCTGTTTCAATTCATGCTATTTGAAGAACAGGTCAAGTTCCAGTTCAGGCTGAAATTCATCTTTAGAGTCAGTGTGACTGATACAAAACAACAGAACATTTTAACTTTATAGGAGGATCTTAAAGTTAAATTGCTGCAATTAGAAGTAGAGAGCCATTACTTTTCAGGAACTAACAAAAAAAGTATTTTGCTATGGAAAGCATTCACATATTTATTTAATAAAATGTTCACTGACCATCTGCTATATCCTAGGTACTGTGCTACAGTAATAATAAAGACATATTTCTTACCTCTGTGGAGTTTACAGTTTAGTTGGAGAGATGTGAAATACTGTAGGAACTCACTATAAAGATATTTTTTGTTAGTCATTTTAGATTGGAAATTCACTTTCTCCTTACTATATCTATTACATTTTCTTTCATTTTATTGGTTTAATTTGCAAGCCTAGTTCTTAATAAGACTTAATCCATAGATTGCCTTCTTGGAATTTTGCCTCAATTAGGAAAGCAGACACGAAGGTTTTATTTTCCCCACTCGTTCGTGAATTCATCAATTCACGAAGCATTAGACATTTACTTATGTCTCCTGCTTTGTGCTAGATGTTGAAGTTCCTAAAATTAAGTGCTTTTGAATCAGATTTTCTATTTCAGGGGTCAGCAAACTATGAAATCTGGCCCATTGCCTATTTTTGTAAATAAGTTTTATTGGAACACAGTCATGCACAACTTTTTTTTTTTGCGGTACGTGGCCCTCTCACTGTTGTGGCCCCCCCCATTGCGGTGCACAGGCTCCGGACGCGCAGGCTCAGCGGCCATGGCTCACGGGCCCAGCCGCTCCACGGCATGTGGGATCTTCCCGGACCGGGGCATGAACCCGTGTCCCCTGCATCGGCAGGCGGACTCTAAACCACTGCGCCACCAGGGAAGCCCGCATGCACAACTTTTTATGTATTATCTATGGCTGTTTTTGCATTACAAAGCAGAGTTCATTAGTTGCAATAGAGACTGACCCTCAAAGCCTGAAATATTTGGTCCTTTCTGGGGAAAGCTTGTTGACTCCTGTTCTATTTAATAACATTATAAAACTTTTTAAATAAAGTTATAGCATATTAGAATTGCAAATATTCATTTGGGGTCAGTTTTAGATGTTTTTGATCCTTTAACATTTTAAAATATCTTACTGTTTATCAATCTTCTCTACATATTCACTGTAATATTCACATAATTTTTCCCCAGCTTTATTGAGATATATATGGTCATATTGTATAAGTTTAAGGTGTACAACATCACACAATGTTTCTTGTATTGGAATAATATCTAATACTACATTCCAATATATTTGTGTCATGTTATTTTTTTGTATGTAGATGATGTCATAAATGAAAAACCTGAATGTTCATTAAAGACCCTGTGTAGAGGTAACTTTTTTCAACCTCACAAAGAACAAATGACCAAGAAAACAATAACCACAAATTAAAAAATAGTAAGACAGAAATATAAAAGTCTTCAATTGTTTAATACATGTCTGTTCCACAAAGGAGTTCATTGACTAATTCAGTCTTTGCACTAGGAAAGAACTATAATTTTTTTGATAAACTGAAGATAAAAATTTAAAAATCACAGTAGATGTATATATCAGAATTTTTATAAACTTTATTTATTAACTTTTTATAGGTATAAAGTAAATATATATCATTAGAGTACCTGGATTTCTTATTATATGAAGAATTTTATCCCTTAAATTAGCCTTTTATATTAAAAGGGTTTAAGTGATCTGAAGTTTTGTTGTTAAAACCAGATATAACCCTTTACCTCTTTCAGTGTTGTTACATATTAGCCAAATTTCAGAATACCTCTAATTAACATATCAGGTTGATATTCTTTCATGTATAACTTTAATTGCAGATCCTATTTACTAGGTTAGAAAATTAAGAAATGTATGTGTATGTATATATATACACGTGTGTGTGTGTGTATATATATATATACACATATATGAATGACATGAAATCTTAAACACTTTTCATTTTAAAGCAAAATTAAAATACCAAGTGCTAAATCATTAAAATGTAACTAGGAAAAAAGTTGTAAATATACATTTAAATTTTCTCCATGTTGGAAACCTTGTGTTGTAATAATTTATAAGCATGATTAAAGAAAGGAATAAATAAATCTTAACGTATGTCTGTTAATTTAATGACTGCATTTTTGTGATTAGTCAATGTGAAATGATTGTATTTTAACCCTTGCTTATTAATGATGTGTTGTGGCTTTGTGCTTTGCATAATTCACATGTATGTTATATTTTTATTCCTTGGATCAATACCTAAAATGTTTTAAGTCACTGAACAGATCCTGTATTATAATGAATACCTCTTTTCTTTTGATGTATTTTTCTTAAATAACAAATTGTTAATTTTTCTTATTAAACATTTAATTGTTGAATAGCATATGTTTTCATAATTTTACTGAGTATATGTATAAGCTACTGCTGTTTTTCAGATAATCCTATTAGAAACTAACATTGGTATTTAAAAATAAGATTTATTGTTGCCTATCAATTTTTAAATACTAGAAATTTTAATATTCTTTTCATATATTATAAATAATGAATAAAAATTTGTGATGTAAGCAAATTTATTTAGTAAGTTAACAATAGATGTGCTCATGCCCAGGGTAGTCTTTAAAAGATGAGTAAAAGTTTTATTTTTCCTTTATATTGTAAGGGACACTACATGTAACATAAACTATTCTAGCAAATGCTCTTTAAATAAATTTATATTAACTTATCTTTATTTCCCCCTAAACCTCATTTAAGTGACTTATTTTCCTAGAATATTCCTACATAAAATGAATACTTTTTTATCCCCTACATAAAATGAATTCATGTTTGGTAAGAAAATGATATGTATTCCATTGTGTTCTGGGGTTAATAATGATCACGCAGAGGTAAAGAGAGTATTTTTCCCATTCAAGATTGTTTTTCCCTCTAAAAATGAGAAAATTATTTTTAAAAAAGGAAAGCTTGATACTTGAACCCTCTTGATGCTAGTCCTTTCCCCCAAGTGTCTCTTTTTAAAATCTTACCCTCCTGTAGCATTGTGTTAAAAAATATATATATGTGTATATATATATATAGAGAGAGAGCACTAAATTTCTAATATGATACAACGGAATGTGACAAATAGAGGCTCTTTCAGAAATGAGCATGGGGTAGCCCTACACACCTAGTAAATCTGCAGTTTGTCAATTTAACAGTTTTGTGTAACAAAAGAACACTGAGGGACTGAGCAGAAGGGTCAGGCAGCCTCTTAAACTGTAGCTCCCACTCAAGGTGGAATGTACTCGGGAAGGAACTTGTTACTGGCTCCACTGCTCCTAAGACCAGAATCAGCCAGGGGAACAAGGTAATGTGTGGGGAAATGGTTTCAAGAAACTGTCAATTCTTTGTAAAGTGGAGTGTTCAGTAAAACAATTTATAGTAATCGGTTATTTTTGTAAATTTGGAAAAGACACACGAAAGTATAGCAACAGACTGGAAATCTATTTTATTTCCAATTTATCATAGAAATCTATTGAAATAATGTTTCCATTTATTATATTGCCATATCATTCTATGGTACATTCATCAACTCTCCCCCAAATTATGAGCATCCCCTACATGTTTGGCATTGTGTTAGTCACTAGAGGTAAATCAGACACAATCCCTGTGTACAAGGACTTTGCAGTTTAGTGGTGAATGTACCAGATAAACAGATGATCAGAAGCAGAATGGGATTCCTATCTTATTTCAGTAACAACTTTGTGACTTATAATATTGAAGACTCATAATATTGAGGGCTTAATAGATTATAATTATCCAAGAATTGGTAATAAGAATTGTATTTGAAAGCATAGTAATTATTCCAGTAGATCCTTCTAGAAAGCCGTAACTAGCTGGAGGTATTCCATTATAACCTGGCAAGAGATGAGTGGCGTCCAAGTCTCTGTGCTAGAAG